GTAGGTTCACACTAAAAGATGACTGTGAGCGTCAGGTTTGGAACGCCGTGGCCGCTTCGTGAACTCAAAGAGAGAATTGTCGATCGATGTAGTACATGAGCAATTAAGAAGCACAATTTATGAGCAAGGTATTTCACCAGTTGACGACACTATGGCTGAAGACTTGATTGTAAACCTTCGTAGTCAGTGAAGCGAACAACTCAGTTGCCGATGAATGGCACTACGCACGTCTATGAGCGAGGGACGTGACAACTTTGCCATGTTAGAAGACTGGCTTTTCCTTTAAATATTTCCTTCTATTTAATGCAACACACGCCACTTTGGAGGTCTAAATTTCGGATACTGAGGATAAAGAAGACACGGACAAAAATAGGGACTCTGAGAATTTCGCGCACAATGCACAAGTTTAAAGCTTCACCGGAACATCCCATCCGGGAGCTTCACAGAGAGCGACTTGAGGAAAATAGTGACTGAGTAGAGCATACAAGTGTAGCCCACGTCGAGGTTTCAGGGGGTTTGCTTTTGTTTGTATTTGTATCTTGCTAAGCTTTTATCATTAAATTTGTACATGATCTTGTGATCACAATTCTGTGTTTTCGCCCATTCAGCAAGCACGCTATATTGATGTCAGCATTAGCGAGTTTCAGAAACATGCCTTTGAAAGTTTTTTAGCTCTCGTGATGTTTCTTGATATTTCTTTTACCATTTTATGTAGATGTTAGCTGAAGTCACCGCAAAATGGAAACTTAAAAAAGCGTATAATCCATTTATCTCGAAACATAACACACATGACTTATACGACCTTTATTTTCGTAAAGGTGTTTTGAATACGAACGAACACAGTCAATGTGAGGGGCAAAAACAGCATTAATATAAATGAACCATAGGGTTTTAACTAATATAAGGGTCAATTATTGTGCATTGAGATGAATCGCTTGAAAAGAGAGACTTCGCTTGAAGATGTGATCAGAAGTAAACAAAGGCATAATAGTGCGTCACGTTCAGTCTTTTTAATATCCAAGGAGTCACTGTGAATAGTGTTTCCATATTGTTTAGCTCGCACAAAAACTTCGGACGAGTTATAAGGCGGCATAGTTATTTTCCATGAAGAAACATTAGTCTTGGGTGAGACAAACAGAACTGGAGCGAATTTTTAACTCACATCGGTATCAGGTAAAAAATATGTTATCGATCGTTTCATCTATTTACATTGTCTGAAGTGCGTGCTGGTGAACGCAACATGCGAGCGAGAAGTCTTTAAACTTTTTTAGGTCTCAAAATGCAAAGGATTTTATTCCTTTAAGTTAGAGAAAAATACCATGAGGAAAATCTTAAAACTCAATATTTTTCTTCTTGTGGAAAAAATAGTGCGTTTTCTTGTAGCCTGTGGACCGCAAATTAGGATCGCACTTTTCACAAACATGCGAATTCCGAAGTTCAGAAGCCAACCGACGATTGCGTTTTTCGCTGCTGTCAGTCATCTTAACGGACCTCTGAGGAAACAAAACTCTACTTCACGGGTTCAAAAGGTCATGGTTTGTGATTTGTGGATTTCGATCCGTTTTGTGTGTTTCTCTTTTTCAAGATTCGTTGCTTTTGATCGTAATTATGATTGACGGCAGCGATAAACACAATTGTGAAGGTGGCTTTTGAACTTTAGAGTTCGCATGTTTGTGAAAAGCGCAGTAAAGTCTCCGTGCAGTCAGTGAGGCCCCTGGATCTGATCAGGCGGGATCAATGGGCAGTTAACTGTCTGTTTTAGTATACTTCTGGTTTTCATATAATACAATATTTCTGTCTAGTGTAAATCAGCTCATTATACTCGTAGAACGACAACAATTTTTGGAATTTCCAGTTACGTCACGTTATACTGTCACGCTATATTTTGGGCCCAGAGGGATTAGGGGAGGGGTACGTGGAAATAATGCAAATTGTTTCCTGCTTAGAATTAATGGCTAACTTGTCTATTTTTATTCATAGTGGTGGAATTTAAAGGTTATTATACAGCCCCCACTTAAAAATGGTACTCTTTTTTTTGGGTTACGAAAGTCTTTCAAAAGGGTACAATGTTTTGAATGAGTTTATGTTTCAGTCTCACATGAGGTTCTGTCGCATGCAATGGTTGCGGACAAGGTTTTATGGTAGCCTGAGTGTGTATAGCCGCCCCCTCCCCTCAGAAAAAATAGCCCCTTGGCAGCCCAGTTAAAAATCGCCTTTCGGCGATTCTTGTTTTTTTTAACATGCCAGTGATCGATATTAGAGTTTACCTGCATGAAGGTTTTTCCCCAGTATCAAGTAATCAACCTTGAGAGTCCTCAAACTACGTAAGTTGAAACTTGCTGTTATGTTGTGTGAGGCAAAGAACGGAACCTCTACCAATGATCCACGAGCAGAGGACGAGCATCCGCTTTGGTGAAATTTCAGAACCCCACTGCCATCAAAAATCTTGAAATATTCACTGTCACTGTGGTGATAATGACAGAATATGTATCAAGCGGTTAAGAGAATGTTTTCATTTTCACTTTTTTTTTTTTTAATATGAAAGTATCCAGTTTAATGACAGGCGCTCGAAGGAATTAATTTATGATCCTTTACACCACGTGTTAATGCACTTCTTACTGCTTGCTCCAATTCATCACAGATAATAAAAGCTACCCCAAAATAACAAAAGAGCTGTTCTTACAACAAGCCATAACTTTTGCAATATCACACAGCGTTAAGAGGCTCCTTCCCCCTAGAGTTCAATCATGATTAATACTTAAGTATCAATCGGGTCCCCAACACATAATAGAAGGGCTCTAAATGAATTGTAGCATTTAATAGCAACAGATTTAGTAAAGTAACAATAACAATGGATACCTGCAATAACTGAGGTCTATCTCCTGAATTAGCACCAGACCAATTGCCTGGCGGATACCGGCATCCCCGATTGACCAGAAGCAGAACAAGGAATGTGTCACACTAATATGGCCAGATGATTGGTTGACAACCACCCTGCAAGCTGCAATGAAGATAGTAAGAAAACAATTTGTAGTTCGCTTTGAACTCTAAATAGAAACACTTAGGATACACTTTTAAAGTCTTATCCTTGATCTAAAACGAAAATATTTTTAAAAACTTAGGGAATAAAAAAAAACTATTATATGAATTACGTGTTTTTTCTCTTCTTAAAAGAAAACTGCGGTCTGCCTACATTGTAGCTTAATCGACATTTTAACAAAAATAAAACCCCACGGCACGTCGTCGTCGTCGTTGGGTTTTTTTTATGATCATGCCTTGGATTAAAGCAATCTATTTTCCTTTAGGTTAAATTTATCTGTGGTAATAAAGGCTTCCAGGTAAAGGTAAAAGGTACAATGTAAGCAGACCGCACTCTGTCAAAGTTAATCCTCTGTTTAAAACGTATCCGGTCCAAAAAAAAAAAAAAACACCCTGTTCAAGATGCTCAATGGTGAAATCGGATCCCCTTGTTTGAGGTACCCCAAGAACCATTCCCTGAGCAGAGCTCCCGCTCCCCTCATCCCTCCGATTGGGGCGTGCCCGTTTTTCCCCTACACTCACCCATCAAAATTTTTTTTCTAAGATCATACTTTAAATTAGAATTATCTAATTTAATTAAGGTTAATTTTACCTGTGGTAATATGGTGAAGAGCAGAACGGGGCCCTTCTCCTTTCAATGTATACGCCGCCACAGAAACATCATAGCGCTGAGCTGGTCCAAGTCCTGTTATAATTGCCCATGTCATGTTAGGACTGCTAGTGACTACACTGCTTGTATTAAATGGTATTGGATAAAAGGCGCTTTTCCTGTAGTAAACTCTATAGCCCTGAAATCGTCCATTGTGAAACCTCTGAGGAAGAGGATTCCAAGAAACCTTGAACTGCGTTGTTGTTACTTGAGAGAACATTATATTGTTAGGTGCACGACCAGGAACTAGAGAGAAATAGAACGTGTGAAGCTGTTAGATAGGGGGAAACTCGCATTTCAAGACTCATCGGAGGATTTGCTTAGTGTTAGCACCCTAAAAACGAAACTAAGTAATAATAGTAATAAAATTAATAAAATAATAATAATAATAATAATAATAATAGTAATAATAATAATAATAATAATAATAATAATAATAATAATAATAGTAACAATAACAATAACCAGTTTGAAGTGGAATGAGAAGAAGCCTATCAAGAGCCTGGACCAACATAACACCCATAAGTTCCTAGACAAGTGTGAATCAATTATGCGCCAAATGCAGATTACATCATTACACATTGCAACAATGTTCAAGCTGAGCGGTTAGATCTGTATAGGAATTTTGGACACCTATTTTAACAGACTTAATCTTGTACATTGTTGAAATTTTATTGACATACCTTAGACGTTCTCATTATTCAATGGACAGCTACATGAACGATGATTTTTAACTTATGAACATTCTTTTTTTATACTTAGGACGTCCATAATTGTTTTATTTTTTCATGACACTTTTATATAATTTTATCAAATTATTTTTACGCAATTATTGGGTAATTGTTACTACAACTTTTAGTCGATACTGCAGCTGGTTAGGGTTTGCCGCCCAGCCAAAGCTTTAATCTTTTACTCTGGGCACCCAGACGTTTGTACTGCCATCGTGATAACAATAACAATAACAATAACAATAACAATGACAATGACAATAACAATAACAATAATAACAATAACAATAACAATAACAATAACAATAACAATAACAATAACAATAACAATAACAATAACAATAACAATAACAATAACAATAACAATAACAATAACAATAATACTGACAATGATTATGATAGAAGGACGCTGACAGCTATCATTATTATTGTTATTATTATTATTATTATTATTAGCAAAGAGGGTGTTTGGAGAGGAAGTCAACATAACGACTGAAGGTCAGCGCCATCTGGGAGCAGTTATTGCGTCGCAAGAATACAAAGATCAGTATTGTGAGGAGAAGTTTCGTGCATGGAAAGAGGAAATGGAACGTCTCTCTGAAATAGCGAAGAGCCAGCCCCATGCGGCGTATACTGCTTTCACAAAAGGCTACAAGTCGAAGTTCACCTACTTCATGCGCACGATTGAATCATTTGAAGTTTATGTCGATCCAGTCCAGGAAGTGATTGAAGATTTACTACTCCCAACTTTGTTCGGTCAATATAGAGCCGCTCCCTAACGAGATGCGCAGACTTGCTACCCTAGCAACATGTCAAGGGGGTCTAGGCATTCCTGATCTGAAATCCGAGGCACCGCAGCAGTTTGCTGCCTCGAGGCTAATAACCACCGCGCACGTAGATTCTATTACTTCACAGATTTCCATCATGGTGCCAGGAGAAAGATCTACGGAGGAGCTAAAGAGGCATCAACAATCACTTAAGAGAGCAAGTGCCAAAGAGAAAATGGATAGCATTGATTCAAGCCTCTCCCCAGGCCCGCTGCGTCTGGTTAATCAATCGAGGGACAAGGGCGCAAGTTCTTGGCTGAATGCGATGCCTGTCACAGACAAAGGTTTAGCCCTCAACAAGCAAGAGTTCAGACACTCGCTACGCTTGCGTTATGACTTACCAAGTCATAACGATTTACCAAGTCATTGCATTGCAGTCGATTTACCAAGTCATTGCATATGTGGGGAAAAATTCACCGTTAGTCACGCCCTCTCTCGTAAAAAGGGGGGGTTGTAGCGCAGAGAAATGACGGTGTACGGAACTTGTTAACGACATTCATCGACAAGATCTGCAATAATGTCGAAATCGAACCACGCCTTCAACCCCTGGACAACGAGCGATTTCATTTGAGGAGCGCTGTTACAAGTTCTGAGGCAAGGTTGGACATAGGAGTTACGGCATTTTTTGATGTTAGAGTTACGCACGTCAACTCCAAATGTTACCAGAGCAAGCCAACATCGGAAGTGTTCAAAGAGCAAGAAGAAGAGAAGAAGCGCAAGTACCAGCAGCGGGTGTTAGATGTAGAAATGGGTTCGTTTACCCCTTTAGTGTTTGGAACCAATGGCGGAATGGGAAACGAGTGTCAGCGGTTCTTAAAGCATCTCGCAGACAAGATAGCTCAGAAAGACACCGAACCTTATCATGTTGTAATCAGTTGGCTCAGGACACAGATCTTGTTTGAACTCTTAAGATCGGTACATGCATGCGTCAGAGGTTCGTGAACGCCGTTTCGTAGCAAGATAGAGCAATCATTAGACTGTAAAATAAATGCCGCTAGTGCGGATATCTGAACGTGTCTATATGCTTTTACTTAGGGCTTTTTATGGACACTGGTTTAGCCGTCATTAGTATAATTCCATTGTACGATCTTAATATCTCTGCATAATGCAATTCTTAATTTTATAGAATTTTGAACTTTTATCATTATTCATATCTATTCCCTCTTCTTTTATGTAAGGTTAAGTTACTTCTATTTTTTTAGAATTTGTAAATGAATAGTTTTTTTCTTTCTTCACTTATTATATATAGGATTGTTTTTTGTTCTCTAATGAAGGAATTGTAGATAGTGTTTTGATGAATTAATTAGATCTTTTGTAAGAGCAGGTTGATTGTAAATAGGATTTTAATTGAGGCTTTGTAACAAAGATTATATTATTATTATTATTATTATTATTATTGTTATTATTATTATTATTATTATTATTATTATTACAAGAATAGATGAAATCAATTTTATAAGCTTTTTTTGGTAATGGGTTCATGATAACCGTCACGAATATAGAGACATTAAGTGACCACTAAGCCCAATAAGAGAATGCTGATGTAATTGCTGTAGTTACTGTAGTTAGTGTAGTAGCTGTAGTTGGTGCAGTAGCTGTAGTTGCTGTAATTAGTGTAGTCGGTGTAGTAGCTGTAGTTGCTGTAGTTGGTGTAGTTGCTGTAGTTGGTGCAGTTAGTGTAGTTGGTGTAGTAGCTGTAGTTGCTGTAGTTGGTGTAGTTGCTGTAGTTGGTGTAGTTGGTGTAGTTAATGTAGTTGGTGTAGTTGCTGTAGTTCATGTAGTTACTGTAGTTACTGTAGTTGCTGTAGTAGCTGTAGTTGCTGTAGTAGCTGTAGTTGGTGTAGTTAGTGTAGTTGGTGTAGTTGGTGTAGTTAGTGTAGTTGCTGTAGTTGGTGTAGTAGCTGTAGTAGGTGCAGTTAGAGTAGTTGGTGTAGTAGCTGTAGTTGCTGTAGTTGATGTAGTTGATGTAGTTGGTGTAGTTGCTGTAGTTGGTGTAGTTGCTGTAGTTGGTGTAGTTAATGTAGTTGGTGTAGTTGCTGTAGTTCATGTAGTTACTGTAGTTGCTGTAGTAGCTGTAGTAGCTGTAGTTGCTGTAGTAGCTGTAGGTGGTGTTAGTTGGTGTAGTTGGTGTAGTTGGTGTAGTTGGTGTGTAGTTGGTTGTAGTTGCTGTAGTTGTTACTGTAGTTGCTGTAGTTGATGTAGTTGATGTAGTTAGTGTAATTAATTGGTGTAGTTGGTGTAGTTGCTTGTTGTGTAGTTCATGTAGTTACTGCTGTAGTTGCTGTAGTTGTAGTTGCTGTTGTAGGTTGTGTAATTAGTGTAGTTGCTGTAGTTGGTGTAGTTGCTTGGTGTAGGTGTAGTTAATGTAGTTGGTGTAGTTGCTGTAGTTCTGTAGTTGATGTAGTTACTGTAGTTGCTGTAGTAGCTGTAGGTGTAGTTGCTGTAGTTGGTCAGGATACTGTAGTTGATGTAGTACATGTAGTTGGTGTAGTATATGTAGTTGGTGTAGTTGCTGTAGTTGGTCAGGATACTGTTTGAGTTACATGTAGTTGGTGTAGTTGGTTGGTGTAGTTGGTGTAGTTGCTGTAGTTCATGTAGTTACTGTTGTTGCTGTAGTAGGTGTAGTAGCTGTAGTTGCTGTAGTAGCTGTAGTTGCTGTAGTAGCTGTAGGTTGTGTAGTTAGTGTAGTTGGTGTAGTAGCTGTAGTTGCTGTGAGTGGTGTAGTAGCTGTAGTAGCTGTAGTTGGTGTAGTTGCTGTAGTTGGTCAGGTTACTGTAGTTGATGTAGTATATGTAGTTGGTATAGTATATGTAGTTGGTGTAGTTAGTGTAATTGGTGTAGTTGGTGTAGTTGCTGTAGTTGCTGTAGTTCATGTAGTTACTGTAGTTCCTGTAGTAGGTGTAGTAGCAGTAGTTGCTGTAGTAGCTGTAGGTTGTGTAATTAGTGTAGTTGGTGTAGTTGGTGTAGTTGCTGTAGTAGCTGTAGTAGGTGTAGTTGCTGCAGTTGCTGTAGTTAGTGTAGTTGGTGTAGTTAGTGTAGTAGCTGTAGTTGGTGTAGTTGCTGTAGTTGGTGTAGTAGCTGTAGTTGGTGTAGTTAGTGTAGTTGCTGTAGTTGGTGTAGTAGCTGTAGTTGCTGTAGTTGCTGTAGTAGCTGTAGTTGGTGTAGTTGCTGTAGTTGGTCAGGATACTGTAGTTGATGTAGTACATGTAGTTGGTGTAGTATATGTAGTTGGTGTAGTTGCTGTAGTTGGTCAGGATACTGTAGTTGATGTAGTACATGTAGTTGGTGTAGTATATGTAGTTGGTGTAGTTAGTGTAGTTGGTGTAGTTGGTGTAGTTGGTGTAGTTGCTGTAGTTCATGTAGTTACTGTTGTTGCTGTAGTAGGTGTAGTAGCTGTAGTTGCTGTAGTAGCTGTAGTTGCTGTAGTAGCTGTAGGTTGTGTAGTTAGTGTAGTTGGTGTAGTTGCTGTAGTTGCTGTAGTTGCTGTAGTAGCTGTAGTGGGTGTAGTTGGTGTAGTTGGTGTAGTTAGTGTAGTTGGTGTAGTTAGTGTAGTAGGTGTAGTTGGTGTAGTTGCTGTAGTTGGTGTAGTTATAGTAGTTGCTGTAGTTGATGTAGTTGCTGTAGTTGCTGTAGTAGCTGTAGTTAGTGTAGTTAGTGTAGTAGCTGTATTTGGTGTAGTAGCTGTAGTTGGTGTAGTTGGTGTAGTTGGTGTACTTGCTATAGTTGGTGTAGTTGCTGTAGTTGCTGTAGTTGGTGTAGTTAATGTAGTTGCTGTAGTTGCTGTAGTTAGTGTAGCTGCCTTAGCTGGTGTAGTTAGTGTAGTTGCTGTAGTTGGTGTAGTAGTTGTAGTTGTAGTAGTTGTAGTTTTGTGTAGTTGGTGTAGTTTGCCGTAGCTCGGTGTAGTAGATGTAGTTTGATGTAGGTTGGTGTAGTTTTCTGTAGTTGGTGTACTTTGGTGTACTTTGGTGTAGTAGGTGTAGGTTGGTGTAGTTTTCGGTAGTTGGTGTAGTTTGGTGTAGTTTTGTGTAGTTGGTGTAGTTTGGTGAAGTTGGTGTAGTTTGGTGTAGTTCTGTGTAGTTGGTGTAGTTTGGTGTAGTAGGTGTAGTTTGGTGCAGTTTTCGGTAGTTGGTGTAGTTTGGTGTAGTTTTGACTAGTTGGTGTACTTTTGTGTAGTTGGTGTAGTTTGGTGAAGTTGGTGTAGTTTGGTGTAGTTCTGTGTAGTTGGTGTAGTTTGGTGAAGTTGGTGTAGTTTGGTCTAGTTTTGTGTAGTTGGTGTAGTTTGGTGTAGTTTGGTTTAGTACGTGTAGTTTGGTGTAGTGTTGTGTGTTGGTTTACCACAATACCTACACCAACTACAGTAACTACACGAACTACACTAACTACACCAACTACACCAACTACACATACTACACCAACTACAAATACTACACCAACTACAGTAACTATGCGAACTACACAAACTACACCAACTACACTAACTACACCAACTACACATACTACACCAACTACATATACAACACCAACTACACATACTACACCAACTACACAAACTACACCAACTACATATACTACACCAACTACACATACTACACCAACTACCGATACTACACCAACTACAGCAACTACAGCAACTACATACTACACCAACTACACTAACTACACCAACTACGCAAGCTACACCAACTACAGCAACTACAGCAACTACACATACTACACCAACTACACTAACTACACCAACTACGCAAGCTACACCAACTACACATACTACACTAACTACACATACTACACCAACTACATATACTACAACAACTACACAAACTACAGCAACTACATATACTACACGAGCTACATATACTACATCAACTACATATAATATCCTAACTACACCAACTACATCAATTACATTAACTACAGATACTACACCAACTACATATACTACACCAACTACACTAACTACACTAACTACACTTACTACACTAACTACAGTAACTAAACCAACTACACTAACTACACCAACTATATATGCAAACTACACCAACTACACATACTACACTAACTACATATACTACACCCACTACACAAACTACACAAACTACACAAAGTACACAAACTACACCAACTACACCAACTACAGCAACTACACCAACTACATAACTACACCAAGTACACAGACTACACCAACTACACTAACTACACCAACTACACAAACTACACCAACTACACATACTAAACCAACTTCATATACTACACCAACTACAGTAACTGCACCAACTACATATACTACACCAACTACACATACTACACCAACTACAGCTACTGCATCAACTACATATACTGCACCAACTTTACATACTACACCAACTACATATACTACACTAACTACACCAACTACATATACTACACCAACTACAGGAACTACACCAACTACAGCTACCACAGCTACTACACGAAATACAGCAACTACACTAACTACAGCAACTACACCAACTACAGCTACTACACCAACTACAGAAACTACACTAACTACGCCAACTACACCAACTACAGCTGCTACACGAACTACACCAACTACACCAACCACACTAACTACAGCAACTACACCTACTACAGCTACTACAGTAACTACACCGACTACAGCAACTACAGCAACTACACCAACTACACTAACTACAGCAACTACACCTACTACAGCTACTACACCAACTACACCAACTAATGCAACTACACTGACTACACCAACTACAGCAACTACAGTAACTACACCAACTACAGCAACTACACCAAATACTCCAACTATTTCTGCTACACCAACCACAGTAACTACACGAACTACACTAACTACACCAACTACAGCAACTACAGCAACTACAGCTACTACACCTACTACAGCTACTACAGTAACTACACCAACTACACTAACTACAGCAACTACACTAACTACACCAACTACACCAACTACAGCTACTACAGCAACTACAGCTACTACACCAACTACACCAACTACACTAACTACAGCAACTACACTAACTACAGCTACTACACCAACTACACCAACTACAGCAACTACAGTAGCTACACCAACTACACCAACTACAGCTACTACACCAACTACAGCAACTACAGCTACTACAACAACTACAGCAACTACACTAACTACACCAACTACACCAACTACAGCAACCACACTAACTACACCAACTACAGCTACTACACCAACTACAGCAACTACAGTAACTACATCAACTACAGCAACTACACCAACTACATTAACTACACCAACTACAGCAACTACACCAACTACACCAACTACACCAACTACACCAACTACAGTAACTACAGTAACTACAGCAACAACATCAACTACAGCTACTACACCAACTACAGCTACTACACTAACTACACCAACTACACCAACTACACCAACTACACCAACTACGGCTACTACACCAACTACACCTACTACATCTACTATACCAACTACACCAACTACACCAACTACACCAACTACATTAACTACACCAACTACACCAACTACACCAACTACAGCAGCTACAGCTACTACACCAACTACAGTAACTACAGCAATAACATCAACTGCAGCTACTACACCAACTATAGCTACTACACTAACTACACCAACTACACCAACTACAGCAACTACACCAACTACGGCTACTACACCAACTACACCTACTACATCTACTACACCAACTACACCAACTACACCAACTACACCAACTACATTAACTACGCCAACTACACCAACTACACCAACTACACCAACTACACCAACTACAGCAGCTACAGCTACTACACCAACTACAGTAACTACAGCAATTACATCAACTACAGCTACTACACCAACTACAGCTACTACACATACTACACCAACTACATATACTACACCAACTACACATACTACACCAACTACACAAACTACACCAACTACATATACTACACCAACTACACATACTACACCAACTACACTAACTACACCAACTACGCAAGGTACACCAACTACACATGCTACACTAACTTCACATACTACACCAACTACATATACTACATCAACTACATATGATATACTAACTACACCAACTACAGCTACTGCACCAACTACACCAACTACACTAACTACAGCAACTACACCAACTACACCAACTACACTACTTACAGCAACTACACCTACTACAGCTACTACACCAACTACAGCAACTACAGCATCTACAATAACTACAGCAACTACAGGAACTACAGTAACTACACCAACCACAGTAACTACACGAACTATACTAACTACACCAACTACAGCAACTACAGTAAGTACGCCAACTACAGGTACTACACCAACTACAGCAACTACACCAACTACAGCTACTACACCTACTACAGCTACTACAGTAACTACACCTACTACACTAACTACAGCAACTACACTAACTACACCAACTACACCAACTACAGCTACTACAGCAACTACAGGTACTACACCAGCTTCAGCGACTACACTAACTACAGCAACTACACTAACCAGAGCTACTACACCAACTACACCAACTACAGCAACTATAGTAACTACACCAACTACACCAACTACAGGAACTACAGCTACTGCACCAACTACAGCAACTACACTAACTACTGCAACTACAGCTACTACACCAACTACAGCTACTACACTAACTACAGTAACTACCGTAATTACATCAACATTTTCATAGTGGGCTTAGTGGTCACTTAATGTCTCTATATTCGTGACGGTTATCATGAACCAATTACCCTTTTTTTAACATTTACGGCTAAACCTATCATTTTAGTCGATAAAAATTATTAGTTTATTTTCACGAGAGTCCTACAACGATAGGCTGGAGACATCTTGGAATCTTGGATGGCGCCAAAGACTTTCAATGGTTTGATACGTGGTCAGGTGCTTTAACCTCAGACTCTCAGACTGGGGGTGCCCCCCCCTTCCCCGCTCCCGCCAGCAAAACAGGTCTGAATAGTGTTAGTAGGTTCAAAGTAGGTTCAATAATAATTTGCCATTTTGACAACTTCCGATTAAATTTTCGTGCTCCATGATTTGTAGCCCCCCTAAAATGTGCATGGAGAGGACAAAATAGTCAATCCTAGATAATCATGAGCAACCGTTTAGAGTGCGTTTAAAGCTAAAATTACCTTGATTAAGATTTCGTACATGGCATTGATGTTAAAGATTAATAGCCCATTTCCGAGTTCTAAAAACTTTTAATTCTAAACGCGACTGAAAATGAGTTTTAATACATGCATGACAATAAAAAATCATTCTATATCAATTGCTTTACACTCGCTTTCAGAAGCTTGATGCAACTCGGAAATGGTCTATCATGAATATGTTAGATTCTTCGCTTTCGCAGGCAAGGCAACCAATAACATAATTGCGCTGGTAAAGGTATAATCATACCCGATTCCTCAGTCCACTCTGTAACCTCTGAACTCTTGTAAACCTCCCAGTTATCATTTACACACAGAAGAGTGAGTCGATATTCCATATACGGCGACAACCCATAGAAAACGTTAGATGTGGTGTTTTCTTGCAGGATATTTCCATTCACAATGCTTCCATTGCTACTTTTTATGACAGTTATATAGTGAAAAATGCTTTGGCTCAGCAAGGTTGCTAGATCTTGCCAAGAAACTTGTATACTGGTTGCTGTCTTATTATCAATAGACACACTCCAATTAGACACTAGCTGGGCTATAAAGGAAGCAAGCAAGTTAATTATTTGATGATATTAAAGAAGGTTACAGCGATGGTGGAGTTCGAGAAAACTAAATTTCACAGTCACGAGACACGCTTAGATTCTGATGGGCACCGGCCAAATCTGTTTGTGCAGGACTGCAAGTGGCCGAGTGTTGAGGAAGAAAGGCTTACTGCATCATTCTCGTCTACAACTAGGTATCCCTTTCAAACGAACTTTGTGTAATGTGTTTAAAATATTTCAGCTGAGTCTAGAATTGATATGTTATGATAAAGTAATTCCATGTTACCTTTTTGGGTTTTGTTTTGGTTTTACAAGTTGAAAGTGAGTCTGTTTCAATAGAATAACTTTATAAACAAAACACTGTGAACCGCCAAAAGATTTGTACGTTCTTTGGGTGACACCGCTATGTAGATAGTTGTATAAGATGAAAAATACAAAAGTTCGAAATATTGACGTCAAGTACACTATAAGGATGAAACTAACCCGATTGCAATCCCTGTCGTAGAATTCCGAATTGAAGCCTGGCATTACTGTTTCTTCTATCAAGATAGATTTGAACGGTAATATTCTCAGAGTTTCCAAAAGAAACTTCCGCGAAAGGTTTTCGAGGAGTCGTCGAGTAACCATAGCGAGTAAACACAGTCGTACCGCTCCCATCGATTATTTTAAAGTATTCACTGTAAAACAAACGGAGAAAAACATCTTGGCTTTAAACGGTAGTGGTAACTTAGCTCTCCTAGGCCTAGGTTTATTCTCCTCAAGCAGCAAGTAATTTTTTTTCTTCCTCCAACCCCCCCTCCCCTTTTCTCCTCCCTTCCTTCATCCATCCCTCCTTCATTCCTTCTGTCTTTTCCCATCATGCTATTTCATTACCTCTTTCCTTTATTCCATCTCTACGTCTATTCAACTTTTTCACCATACATGCGTCGATCCAACCACCGAACACGCCCTCAACAACCATCCATCCTTACCCTCATCTACTCTCGCTGTCGTTTCACCCTCACATCTTTCCAACCTGGCAAGCAGCCATTTATTATCCAAATCATCGCTCCGCCCATCCGCCCACTCGTTTGCCCGTCCATTCAACATTCAACACATTTGCACAATACACACGTACTATAAGAAAAATATATATATATGTATCCCTTGCCCTTGATATTATACTTTATAGGCTCTACTTTTTGCAAAACAACTGCTAGGCGTCAAACGAAAAAAGGCACAAAACTGAAATCTTATTTCCCTATGAAGACATTGTTTAATTTCACTCACTGGCGATCTGACAGGTAGAGTTCTTGTATTGACATAAATGCAACTGCTCGCTCGATTCCTACATTTCCAATATGCCAGGTGCACAGCAGATAACCGTCATAACCTCTCCGGCCAAATTGTAGCTGGCCAAATGACTGATTTGTACTTCCTCCGCAACCTATAGAATAACCAATGACAAGAAGTTAAATAGATATTCGGGATATTATTGGCAGGCCTGGTTGGCCATAAAAGGAAAAGTCTGCAGCGCGCCTTTCACTGCCTTATTATAATTATCATTAGCTTTATCATCAACATCATCATTACTATTATTATTATTATTATTATTATTATTATTATTGTCATAATCATCATCATCACCATCATCATCATTATTATTTATCCTTCTGTCCTAATGATAATACTAATCAAGAGGCCGCCTTGGGTCGAAAGGTGTATTGAAGACATTCGTAACTGAACGATCAATTAAAACTGAACGACGATAAAACTGAAATCATGATCATTGGCACATCGCAGCAACTAGCTAAAGTATCTATCCATAGCCTACGTGTCGGGACTGCAACCATCACTCCTGTGTCGTCTGCAAGGAGCTCATGGTTTAATTCTAAGCTGACGATGGCAATCCATATTTCAAAAACATGTAACTCTGCCCTCTATTATTTGTATAATCTGAGACGCATAAGAAAGTATCTTTGTAAAGACAACACCAATTATGTGTACGCATTGTTAGCACAAGATAGTCCGCTGTTCACGAGAACAGTTTAGCAAATCCTTTTTGGGATTTCCCAATCGAACGACGAAAAGGGAAATCCAAAAAATCCGGATTTGGAAAATCTAAATCCGGATTTCCCAATCGAACGCACCCAAAGTGAGTTGTATCACGTCAGTTGATGGTATTATACTCTGGTTATTGATCTGATTGGTCAATTACGTCGCGATGTTATTGGTCGTCTGTCAGTTAAGCCGTGATGTTATTGGCTATGAGGACTCGTAATCAGTAATTGGTGTGTTTCGATCCGTCTGTTACTGCTTACTAATGTCAAGGACAAAAACAAACCGGAGAACAGACAGGGAGCAGTATACAAGATCAAATGCTGCGACTGCCAGTCTTCTTACATTGGTGAAACCGGCAGAAACCTAAGAAGGCGACTGACCGAACACAAACGAGCGACGAAGAATGGTGACGTCAACAATCACATCGCTGAGCACCATTTAAAGACGAAACATCAAATTTACTGGGACTCTGCGACATGTATAACGTATTCTACAGACTACTATCAACGTCTTACTTTAGAAAGCTGGTTTACTAACTTGGAACATACGCCACTGAATCGTAGCCAACAGTTACCAGCGCCGTACAAACGACTTATTGACGAGATCAAGCAAAACTAACCTACGAGAGAATGACAATTGGACTAACAATAGACGACTGTTTAACGGTGACAATAGAAGGATCGAAACGCACCAATTACTGATTACGAGTCTTCATAGCCAATAACATCGCGACGTAATTGACCAATCAGATCAATAACCAGAGTATAATACCACCATCTGACGTGATACAGCTCATTTTGACTCTGAAGATGACTACCGCACAGGTTGTCGAAACGTCAGTCGTCTGTCGTAAAAAAAGTGTCAAAATGGGACTATCACAGACATTGTATCCCTTCAAAGAGGGCAGACGGCAAATTTTTGTTGCTTGAAATATCTATAGGTCGTAACTGTTCATCAGTAGGGTTCCTAAAATGTGCACAATTCCACAATTGGTTTCGGCTCCATTCAGTCCTCTACAAATTGTAAAACATTTTTGGAGAAACCACCCATATTGTGAGCACACTTACTGAAAGATGTATGAGTGTATAAAAGTTACTGTTTTTACTGCAAAAGTTTTTGTACGTTGGTCACCCATTTCTGAGGTGAGACATATACGATTTATTCATGAATGATTTGATGGCGATTTAATCAATCCTGTACTTTTAAGTATTGAACATCAGTAAGAATTAATATTTTAAAAATGCTTTTGAGTTGCTCAAATTATTATTTCCATTAAAAAGAACGACGTAAGAGGTTGCATCAGCCACAAAAAAAAGAATGCATTACCTGTGCTTATTGAATACCGAGACGAGGGTGGTCCTTTGCCTTTAGAAGTAAAAGCTGACACTGTTATTCCGCAACGTGAAGCCTGTCTCAGATCCCTCAAAATCACCAAAGTAACATTAGCACTGCTAGTGTTAACACTTTTTTCATAATTCGAGTCATAAATGGATTCCGAACAGTAGACTTGTACTTCGTATCCAAGGAGACGTCCATTAGCGTACTGCTGGGAGAGTGGATTCCACTGTACTTTTACTTTAGTAAACTGTAAGTTTGAAAGTTGGACATACGACGGCGCGCTGCTGGGAACTAAAGAAACAGAAAATATATGAAAAATTTTGCGACTAACCTTGTAATTTGAATTAGGCTACATATTGTAGGTACAAAGTTACAATAATTTGCTGCGTCTTTGACAGAGCGGACCAAGGAATCGTCGAGGTTTTAATTTATGTTAGAGAACCAACAATAATAGGACAAAAACCCCAACAACAACAACAAAAAAACTTGATTAACAAAAGTTGACTCCACGGACACTATGAACTTACCGAAGGAAATGTTGAAAGAACCCGTACCGTTCGGTTGGCCATAAATATTAGGGACTTTAAGGAAAGAATATGGAAGGGTCTTGTACGGTAATCGGAATAAATCTCTTTCCGCCAACCGTCAATGCCTCAAGCAAGGGAATTTACTTTGTCAAATGTTGGCAAACTCGTCTGCAGTTGAAGTCTTGCAGTTTTAAAAATTTTCTTTTAAAACTTGCGCTATTATCAGTATTAGCTAGGGAAAAGTGAATGTTATTATTCAGACATGTCTGAAGAGAGAATCAAGCAAATCAGCCGCAGAAACTGCTAAGGCAAACTACATCGCCTTCGTTTATTCAAATTCGATACAAAACCTTAAGATTCGTATGTGTAATTAGCTCTATTATAAAGCCTTTATACAGTTTTGATCCAGCTCGATTGAACTAATTATTCAGCCCAAGAAAATCTTTAAGCTTACTATGATTATTATTTTATTTTTCTATCAAGTCTGCCGATTCCTTTATCCTTGTTTGACACAAAAGCAGGTCATGATTAGTCTACCAAGACACATAAACCTTTCTTTATCCTGAAGAAAGCTTAATTGTGATTATAATTACAAGTTACATTGTAAAGTTTTTGTCTTGGTTATGCAATCGATCGCGTGCTTCATCAGACACGAACGCGCCCCACATTCAAGGCCGAGGTTAAAATTTCCTAAAAAACTTTAAACCTCAGTAAGTTAAAAATTAAAAATATTAACCGGCCTACATGTAGGTCAGTCCGTATTGGGAGAAACTGTGCCCTCGGTATGAGTACCACTTTTCTTCAAATACGGACGTCGTGGCCGATAAATGACATTTACACTTTTACATAGCACGCTGGACAAAATTGTTCTGGGTTTCATTATACACAAGTAAAATAAGCCAAGGAACCTTAATGATATCACGTGAGAAGGACCTGCGTTATTGGTAACGTGGTCACAAAAGTATCCGAAATAGCGTGATTTCTAAGAAAAAAAATCACCTGTTTATGCTGAACGAAGTGTTCTTGGGCTAATTAACAATTATTCTTTGAAAAAGAGGTGGATAGTGGTTATTATTTACCGAGGCGCGAAGCGGCCAGGTAAATATTCCTAAATCCACTATTCAGCTCGATTTCAAAGAATAATTGTTTTAGTATATACACACGAAGTGATCTCAACAAAATCAGAGAGAAAACCATTAAAAAGTACGATTTGATTGACGGATAAAATCACGCGAAAGTTTAAAAATAGATCTTAGTAGAATTTTCAAACATGGCAATTCACAAGTTTATCACTTCGCAAACAACAGCTTAAAGGCTTAAATGGAACCGTTAAAAGTTTGAATTGTTTTCCTACCTGATCAGAAAACTAGAGCTTTGTTGTTTTCTCTTGACTCGCCAACTTTATAGTCAAAAGGGTTTGTTGTGTCGTTCTTTGCATGAAGTGCTGACAAAAATGGCGGCTCGGTTGCTCTCTCCGTACCATATTTTTTTTTCTATTTACTTGAAACTCAGAATTTTTGCAAACATTTGCTTTCAAATTTGTTTTTCATAAATTTCCGTCCAGTCAGTAACCTCTCTTATATTTCTAAATCGTCGGAGAGGGCTGGGGCTGAGTAGTTTATGGAGCATCTGACTGTCGACAATGTACATTCTCTGCTTCAATCGGTGTATAAACAGCAACACAGCACGGAGACGGCCTTACTTAAAGTTAAGAATGATATTTTGATGTCTATGGATGAGCAACATGTCACCTTGCTTGTATTATTAGATTTAAGTGCAGCTTTTGACGCGATACATCATGATAAGCTGATTGGTCGTCTTGAGTCTGATTTGGGAATAACTGACAATGCACTTGCCTGGTTTAAATCGTATCTATCTGACCGGTTCCAGCGTGTCTCTGTAAATGGTAATCTCTCAGATCAGTTTCCTTTAAAACAAGGTGTTCCTTAAGGATCATGTTTGGGCCCCTTGCTTTTCACTATCTACACGCGCAAACTGTTTCAGATATTTGAACGCCACCTCCCACAAGTTCACTGCTACGCGGACGATACACAGTTGTATGTATCATTCGGCCCCAATCGATCTGCGAATGCTGATTTTGCCATCAAGTCCATGACGGACTGTATCAGTGACATTAGAAGTTGGATGATTTCAGATAATCTTATGTTAAACGATGATAAAACATAATTTTTAATTATAGGTACTAGGTAGCAGCTGGCCAAGGTTAACATCAATTGCATTAGAGTTGGGTCTACTGATGTTTGTCCCGTAACAGTACTGCTAGAAACCTAGGCGCATGGTTTGATCAGCAGCTCACTATGTCAACTCATATTAGCAAGTTATGTGGTGTTGCCTTTTACCATTTGTATAATATCAAACGCATTCGCAAGTATTTGTCTCGAGAATCAACGGAAATGCTTGTTCATGCATTTATTACATCTCGTGTTGATTATTGTAACAGTCTTTTGTATGGGCTGCCCAACTAACAGCTTAACAAATTGCAGAGAGTTTTGAATTCCTCAGCCAGGCTAGTTTGTAATGCCCTTAGGGTTTTGCCACATCTCACCCCTTCTTCGTTGTCTGCATTGGCTTCCTGTTAAAGCCCGGATAGAATTTAAGATACTGCTTATTAGGTTCAAAGCAATTCACGGCCTTGCTCCTAAATACCTATGCGATTTACTAACATTTAAATCGTCCTTATATAACCTTAGATCTTCAGATAGTATTCTACTTTCTATGCCAGCTGCTCGATCGAAGACGTTAGGTGATAGAGCTTTTATGGTAGCGGCGTCAAGGCTCTGGAACTCTCTTCAAAAAGAACTTCGTGCGATTACTAATGTGAACAGTTTTAAGGCGCATTTTAAGACTTATCTTTTCAAAACTTTATTTGGTGAGTAATTTTATATTCAGTTCTTACTTGCATGCATATATATTCTTTTTTTTTTATTTTTTAATGCATTATCTTTTATTTGTTCCTTTTAAAGTAATGTATTTGTAATGCGCAAGTGATCATTCTCATGTTAAGCTGCGCACAATAAGTTCATAAATTATTATTATTATTATTATAAATAAACTTCAACTTTTGGGCCAAGTTTTCTTGTTAGGAAACGCCGAGTTCACGAAAAGGCTTCTTCTACGCAAATAAACGGGAGTTGTAAACAATCCATCGAGCACAATCCTTCCAAGTCTTTTCTTGCCTTAAAAAAGTCTACCCTAGGATTTTGTCCACTTTAAAAGATCGTTCTCTCAAAAATGGGAAGAACGCCGAGCTCACACATTATCCACTCGCAAGGAGGTGAATATTGTTGAATAGGCCGAGATAGCGAACTAATCAGATTGCTTAAATCACCAAGATCACTGAGTGTGTATATAATAATTAAGAATATCCTCAATATCGCCACCAAATAAATCTCGCAGCGAAGACAACATGGACCGATTTAATAACATGTTGTACTGGTATCCTTTTTGATACATTAGCGTTTTAAAGAGTCAAAGATTCAAGTTGTAATGCTACCACCGAAGGGCCAGGAGGCGGATTCAAAACAGATGTCAAAACATCAACAAACACGATATTCTTAGTACAAAAACACTTCGTTTTCAATGCAAAAAAAAAAAAATACCTGATTTTGCGTGCGTTTATGATTTTGTTTCGAAGTTAATAAAGTTCGAAAGAGAAAAAAGTATATTGAGGTTCCGTCTCTTTTGTGTGTGTGTTTTTTTCTTTTTTGTATAGTAAATGTGTTTTTTTTCTTTTTCTATAGTAAAAAGTTAATCCAGAACAGTTTTGTTCAGTGTACTATTTTGCACATACCCCCTTCATCTGTCCATGCTGTTCTCTCTGTATTGTAGGCATTCCCTCTAAAATTTACGCCTGTAACACATAAACGATATTCTGTAGAGGGCGGCAGTCCAGATAACACATGGGAAGTAGTATTTCCTGGGACGATGTACTCGTTTACGCTACTTCCAAATGAGTTTTTGACAACTATAAAGTAATGGCTAATTTGCTGACCAACTAGTATTTCCAGGTTTTGCCAGGAGAATTGGATGCTTGTTGTATTAGTGTAGTAAATGGATATACTCCAGTAAGCCAGTGGTGAAACTAAGAATAAAAAGAGCAAAGTCAGGAAACCAGAAATATATGCATGAAATATTCGATGTTGCGTTACCAAAAAAACTCAACCGCAATTTATACAACCGGGATATCACTTTGCTTTTCTTTATGTTAAAATGTTCATTAGTTTCCAGCTCAGAGTCGATATGCTAATGTAGTATACAGTATACTAAAACAGTGGATAGTGTTTTTCGCGCGCTCTTATTGGCTATTCAATCAGTAAAAATCCCGCACTATTCACTGATTCACCTCCAGTTCCTCCGAGCGAGCGACACCAAACTCGCTAAGTTGCCAGCAAAATGCCTTCCCGGTTTGCTTCCGTGACAAACAAAGAAATTTCACAAATAATCAAGCAAGCTGTTCCCGAAATACACGAAGACGAAGGTTTGGAAGTTTTAACAGGTAAAGCTTTGTCTTTTTGACTTGAAGTTATCGATGAAACCGGTGAAAAGGGTTTTTGTTTACAAATGGAAATTAAGGATACAAGTCTTGCGTTACTTTGTTTAATTGACTTGTTCATAAATGAGCTTAAAACTAAATTTGATATTTTTACAGAATGATTTTAAATGCAGAGAGAATTCACAACTCATTTTGAAGAAATTTCCCCGCAAGATCAAATAGAGCTAAACAAATGCGTTCAAAAGTTTTATTTGTCGGCAAGAGAAAGCGACGGTCGCGGCCGTTCGTTCATTACGCGCCAAAATTGTAAACGCTGGCAACAACAAATGAGTCAAAAATCATCCTATTTGCGCTCAATTATCTCACTGTTTTAGTATAGACTAAAACAATTATTCACCTCAGTGTCGGTGACTAGTGGTGGATATTTAAATAGCCACCGCTCGCCACCTACACTTCGGTGAATAAGCGAGAGTTTAAGTAGCGACGTTTTTGAGTGACGCACGCCAACCGGACGTGGACTTTTTGCACACTTGAGCAAGAGTGACTTTGAACAAACTTTTGGGCAAATCGTCTCTATAAGAGTAAGGAACCTCAGCCATGCAAATTTGATGGCGTAAAGGCATTATAAAAGAGAATAAAAGCTTACTTCTCGTTGACGTGCATTGCTCAAAAACGTTGCTCCTGGGAAATATAGAGATGTGTGTTTTCCCCGCCAAAAAAACAAAACAAAACAAAACAAAACAAAACAAAAAAAAACAGCAAATCATGATTTTAACGGTGAAACACGCTAACCGAATTGGAGCCCTTGTTTTAAAATTCCAAATTTTAACGTGAATTTACTGCGGCTCTGCCTTAGGTAGATCTGGACATTGACGATCCCAGAATTCCCGAAAGAAACCTCCTTGAAAGTGTTTTGCTTGACAGAAGAGTATCCATAGCGGCTGAAAACCGTGATACCGTTGCCATCAATAATCTCAAAGTACTCGCCACTGTGGAAAGAGCAAAAAGAGAAAGGTGAAGGATACTTTTTATAAATTTTTAATAAATTAAAGGAAGATCAAAAGGAATAATAATCACCATCATCATCATCATCATAATAATAACAATAACAATAATAATCATAATAATCATAATAATAATAATTATTAATTAATTAATTATATTAATTAAGGTTTACTACTACTACTACTACTACTACTGACTACTACTACTACCACTACTACTGCTACTACTACCACTAATAATAAGTAATGGTAATAAGACTGAGTGGAGCACAATTCAGGGATTAATCGGGCGAGTACGCGAGAGGCCGATTTGAAATTACGAGCCCGATTACCCCTAAATTGTACGACACGAAGTCCTATTACCAATTAATTAATGTGCCAATAACAAAATGCGAGAATCTCAGTCTCCAAATATTTATTAACGTAAGAAATAGATTCCAACGCAAAAAATGACTGGTTTCAACTTTGGATGTGGAAGCCCGACCGCATGAAGATCTTTTTTTCAAAAAAGTATATTTTTAATTAAAATACATGTACGTCAATATTTGAACAAAAAGGGAGAATTTTTAAAAGTAATGGAATTGAAGTACAGCTTGTCGCGTCAACTTTTATACAGATTGCAAGTCCCAGAGGAACCGGAAACGGTACAACTTGCTTGAACTGACAAGTGATTGACAACTAGCTCAACATTACCAAATACGGTGTACGAGATCACCCGCTCATAAAACACTTTTGTTACGGGCGAAGTTTTCGAGAACGGCTCACATGGTTAACAGCTTTTATCTTTTCAAGCATGAATATTTAAACAAAATTAATAAGTATGTGAGAGAAAACAGTCAGTGTTAAAATTCAGTCTTCATCAGAGTCAATAATGTAAGCTCGTTTACGCTTTCGTCTTGGAATACTTAGGCTTGTTATCTCGCCGATCTGACATTTTACTCTCGAAGAACTGGCTTGATTTGTTGACTGCGACCCAAAGTAGTTTTGGATGTTTACAGTGCAGTTGTGGAATTGCTGAACGGCTGGGTTGTTTGTTCGTGTAATTGGAGACTGGACGTTAGAATACTGATGCGCGAGAGAATAAGCTCTTGCTTGGCTGATGGCTGCACCTAGGGAAGTTGAAGAAGACGTTGCATATTTGCTCGATGGCACAACAACATCTGTTGAAGGTGGAACTGGAAATGAATTCAAGCTTGGCGGCAATGCTTTGGAAGAACTTGTCGTTGTGGATGGTCCATAATAGCCGCTTATGATATGTGACAGAGTTCTCCTTTCTTCTTCATCAATCTCGTCGTAGTCATCGAGCGAGGTTTCGATTGCATGGCCCGTGATTTAAATTATTTTGTGCCTTGGTTGTCCGGCTTTCTTCAATTTAGCGACAACTGCTTTTCTGGTGGAATGATTTGAAATCTTTTTTCCATCAATGCTGATCGTCTGTGCTAGGGTCTTCATAATGCTGCCAAGTTTGTGTTCGCCCATCCTGGACTTGGCATACCAAACTTCGGTTTTCGGACGCTGTATTATTGCCAAGTACAAAGGCCCAGAGGTTCCCATTTCTAATGGGCGCCTTCTCAGAAATTCTTCAAAAAGCCGGACTGGATCTCTTGGTCCACCGTGTGTTTGGCTGAAAGGCCACCGGAACGGGTCTTTGTTGGATTTTCATTGAAACGAACGCATTTTGCAACTTCTCCTCCATGGATCTGGATCCACGCAACTTCAAAATCTTGTACATAAGCGTCGTAATGGTCTTGACAGCCACGAAATCCGAAGTGCTCGGACAAATTCTTGAAGTTAACGTTTGTGAGAGCCACTCCATCGTGGTCGCCTAACAGACCACTTGACCAGAAGGACTCTTCTTCGGCAGAGTTGTACGGCAGGGCGCGATTCTTTCTCTTGCCGTAACTATTCATTCCTAGTTGTTTTGCTTTTGCTTCAAGAACAGCCCTTGAAGATGAGAACTCCAGACTATTTATCAGACTGTATGGATATTTCTGGGTGGATAGGTACCGTTCCAGGGCCGCTTGCATAACTTTATGTGAGTCCGGTTCATACTCTGAGACGTCTTGCTTTCTCACTTCCAGAGAAAATTTTTGGAGGACTCCGTCTAAAGTTGCGGGCGCCATTGTTTCTATACTCTCGTTGATTTGACGTGACTTTGCCCAGGAATACCAAACTCTCATCCACGTATTTGTACTTCTTTGTGTGTTCTTATTTTGTGCTTCTTTGATTGTTTCTTGGATTTGGTCAGTGGAAGTAAGTGGAAACCTGGACTCGTCTGGTGCCGGTAAGTTGTTTGTTGTTTCCGTCAGGACCGCTCGCTCGCTCTCTTGGTTTGTTGTATTTAAGACTTCAGGGACTGCATCGCTATTTTCTTTACTTCCAAGGCTTTCTAACTCAATTGTATTAAACAAGCTGTCAAAGTCTAAAGAAAAAATGTCTGAATAAAAGTCACTGGACCAGTTAGTTTCCTCCATTTTTCTTTTCCAGTTGAAGCGGGACAGCTTACCTGGTCACAATTGTTTCATTGATTTTGATTGGTTATCATGTGCTGTGTAATGAAATTTCATTGGCTAGTGGCATTTGCTACTTGATTTTCATTGGTTCTTTAACTGTCCGATTTGACCTGTCCGATTACCAGAAGCTTGTAATCGGACAGGTCAAATCGCACCGTTTTGGAGTTACATAGCAAAATTAAGCTATAAATATGGGCCGTTAAGAACCAATCATATTCAAGCATTTTGTTATTGACACAATGATAATAATAATAATAATAATAATAATAATAATAATAATAATAATAATGATAATAAAACCAAAAAAAATCGTCCAGAATCACGCGACGTATCCGGGAACTTTAAGCGCCCTCTGAGCGCTAAATTTGAAACGATGATCAGCGAACCAAGGCCAAAACAAAGAAAAAAAGGCCAAAACTGTTCAGAGTGGCTCATGTTTTACACTTTTTCGCCTTAACTATATAAAAATTATTAGAGTCAGCATATGGATTTTAAGGAAGAGATGTTAATAAAAAATACAAGACCGCTTGTGACTCTGTAGACCTTGTAGACGTTCTGGCTTTTTCGCTTTGAAAATCGGCTACTTTAGTCACTATTTTGTATGGGAGGTCACGTTTGAGGCTAAATTTCTGTCCGGCAAGTCACTTTATTCATGCGTCAGCATATGGCTATGTTAGTTTGACCATTAAGGACGACTCTCTGAAAGTTTGGTACGATTACGTTGCTGGGAAGTTTTGGCTTTTCGACAGTTTCTAAAAGTAGTCCGGCTCGCTTACGTTCGTAAATCCCGAGGACACGCGCGACTTGGTTTGAAACTCCCGCCTGCATATTAATGAATTGAAACGGATCAAAATGTGAATAATTATCTCAAACAATGTTCCCTCCATCATTTAGAAAAACGCGGCGCGAGCTTTTTAAATGTTAACCGACTCGTTTATGTTAAAATGAAATGTCATATACCTTCACCTCCTTCGTCTTACAAATAGAAAAACTCTTAATTATTTTTAACTCCGCGACCAACGCAATGGAAACCAATCGAGTAAAAGAGCGCGTCTTTTATATGAGCTGCTTTGACCGTTTACGAAACTGAAACGCAACGATGAAATAGAGGTAAATGTTCCGCTCATTTCTTTGCCATTTGACAAATATTTGTCTGGCCGTCGCACGCAGTCAGATCTAATACACTTTACGCATTAAACCGGTACGGTGATTGACAGCTACCGATTCTTTTACGGTGGTAGTCCGTCTTTAGCTGGCTTTCCGAAAGCTTATTTATTCAGTTATTACGCCGCACATTGAGAAACTGCGTACTGTAAGTACATGTCGCAAAACACAATAGAATTCTGGGCGATGCGCAGGATTTAGCCTTTACTACTATTCCTTTAAGTATCCATAAACGCAGCACACTAACTTGTTATAAGACAGATACAGTTGCGGCAATGAGAAAAGAGCAACAGCTTGGCTTATTCCAGCATTTTGAATCTCCCAGTTGCATCGCAGAGTAAAAGAACTATCATAGTATGATGAACTACGCACTTGCAAGTTTCCAAACAACTCATTTAAGGCTCTTCCGCAACCTGCAAATGAAACAATGCTATGCATTACGCTAAGAAACAGCGACAAGGTACGGCTGATAATAGGCCAAAAACGCATAATCATCATTATCATCATCATCATCATCATCATTAATGTATAGATTTAGCCAATGCTAAAAGCGAAGCTCTCTTTAATATTTATAGTTTACTCAAACAAAAGAAATGGTGAAGACAACCAAAATGGTTTAAAAAAAAACAGCAACAATAGGTCTAAAACAAAACACTATTTTGTAAATTTCTTTGTTAGTGTCTTGCACGACTACAACGTGAAACGTCCAAAAACTACCTACTAGTCAGACGTTTTATGGAGGAAATGTTGTATGTGTCGTCTTCGTGGTCGTCGTCGTCATCGTCATGATCATGATCATCTTCATTATTATTATTATTATTATTATTATTATTATTATTATTATTATTATTATTATTATTATTATTATTGTCATGAGCGAAACTACTTCTCCCCAGAGATCTTAAGATACAACAGAGAGAGCGCAAAGCACAATTCAACCAAACCCTCCTGATTACGAGGTGTTTCCCACTGAAATCAAGAACAAAACATGGGGCAATATCAGTCACGAGAACTTCCGTGATACTATCAATGGTGTTCACTATCAAATTGTCCATTTCAGGAGAAATAGTTTCAATGTACCATCGGGAACAGCTGGAAAAGCTTTTATAGAAGAACTAACATTCTGGATAAAGCAGTTAAATTCGAATTCGGAATGGTACTCCCAACCTTAATCCTGCAAAAGCCGTCCGCTACTTCTAAAGGCAAAGAGCATAGTGCAGCGATAAGACTAAGATTAAACTCGTGGACGCAAGGAGATTTAGGTCTCTTGCTAAAAGAAGTGAGATTCATCTAAGGGAAGTTTGTGAATTCGAAGAAGGCTAGGACAGTTGAGGACATATCCAAAGTTTTTGCGAAACTAGTTTTCCAAGAAAAGTTATCTGCTGCCATTAAGTTTTTGGATAGCGAGAGCTCAACGGACTTACTCAACTTTACCCAGAAGTCCTTGAATGGCTGAAGGAGAAACACCCGGAAGCGGTAGATATCGTGGGTGAAAGTTTATTATACGGGCCCGTTGATTACATTCCTCCTGGCGTTTTTGACTTGATGGAAGAGAGAATGATCTTTGATGCTGCAACCGTAACAAAGGGCTCAGCCGGGCCGTCGGGGATGGATGCCGAGCTATATCGAAGAATCCTCTGCTCCAAGAATTTCAAGGCTGAGACCAAGGTTTTGAGAGAGGAGATAGCCGTTTTCACAAGAAATCTGTTAAAGATCGCTTACCATCCATCTTTGCTGGAAGACTATAACTCTTGCAGGCTCATTCCCTTGGACAAAAACCCTGGAATACGACCTACTGGCGTTGGTGAGGTCCTGAGGCGAATAGATGGAAAAACTACTGCTGGATTTTTGAAGGAAGAGGTCAAAGAGACAGAGGGCCCCCTTCAGGTTTGTGCAGGCTATAGCGCAGGCTCAGGGGCCGCGATACATGCTATGAGTCAAGTGTTTGTAGAGGAAGGAACAGATGGTATTTTACTGATTAACCAAATGAAGAGATCCGTCGCCTTACATAAAATCCAGATAACCTGCAAGGAAATGTCACTTTACATTATAAACACCTACAGAAGCCCCCTCGAGGCTCTTTATTTGCGGCGGTGGTGAGATATTATCACAGGAGGGTACGACGCAGGGGATCCCTTAGCCATGCCCTGGTACTCGGTCAATACATTTATCATGATCCGGAGGGGAGGAGGTGGGCAAATTGTGCCGTTGTGTAACTGGTACAGTCAAATGAGTCGGGAAGGAAAGAAATATGGTCATCTAGTGAAAGGATCAAAGAGCTGGCTGATTGCCAAGTCGGACGTACTTGCAGATGAGGCAAAGAGGGTGTTTGGAGATAAGGTCAATATTACAGCTGGATGTCTGCGTCACTTAGGTGCCGTCATCGGGTCTTAACAGTTTAAAGATCAGTAATGTAGGGAAAAGGTCCTTGGATGGAAAGGAGAACTCAAAGCACTAAATGAGATAGCAAGGAGCCAGCCTCAGGCAGCCTACACTGTTTTCACAAACGGCTACAAATCCAAGTTTACCTGTTTACCTATTTCGTTAGCACAATAGAGTCGTTTGAAGATTACGTTAACCCTATCCAAGAAGCGATCGACGAGTTACTTCTCCCAACTCTATTCGGTCAAACGGAGCCCCTCCCTAGTGATCTGTGTCAGCTCGTTACTTTGACACCCGCTCAGGGAGGGCCAGGCGTACCCAACTTACGGTTTGAAGCTCCACAGCAGTTTGCTGCTTCTACGTCAATAACAGCACCGCACGTAGATTATATATTACCACACAGAGCAAGTTCATTGTGGCAGGCGAGAATTCTACGGAGAAGTTAAAAAGACAACATCAAGCGTTGAAAACTGAGTAGGTGAAATCGAGACTGGAAATTACTGATTCCACTCTACTCTCGGATCTGCTGCGATCAGTTAACCAATCGAGAGACAAGGGTGCGAGCTCATGGCTTACCGCAGTGCCTCTTGTCGATCAAGGCTTAGTGCTGAATAAACAACAATTCAGAGACTCTCTGCTTTTAAGGTATAATATGCCCCTGTCCGACGTACCAAGTAAGTGAGATTGTGGTGAGAAGTATACCGTCTACCACGCCCTGTCATACAAAAATGGTGGGTTCGTGGCGCAGACACACGATGGTGTTCGCAACCTACTTACCTCACTTATTGGTAAGGTTTGCACCAACGCTGAAGTCGATCCACAACTACAACCTCTCGATAATGAGCGATTAAACCTCAGAAGCGCAAAACAAGCCCAGAGGCATGAGTGGACTTCAAGGCAGGGGGCTTTTGGTCTCGTCGAGTTACAGCCTTTTTTATTATTATTATTTATGTCAGAGTAACGCATGTTTACTCCAAGTGTAACCAGGGAAAAGAAACATCTACAATCTTAAAGGAGCAGGAAGAGGATAAAACGCGGAAGTACCAACAGGGGGTACTGGACGTTCAAAAGGGATCTTTCACTACTTTTTGGAACTAACGGTGGGATGGGAGCCGGCTGTAACTGCTTTCTCAAATGCCTAGCCGAAAAGCTCTCAGAAAAGAATGAGGAGCCTTATCACATGACTATTACTTGGATTAGAACACTGCTGTCTTTTGCGATTTTAAGGTCAGTACACAAATGCAGGACACCCTTCCACAAAATTCCACAAGGGGATTTTATTGATGACTGCCGGTTAAACGCTAGCCAAGCGTGTGTCCGCTAGTTTTAGAAAGTGATTATGACACGAGCTTTTAAATTAGTATTTTAGGATCTTTTTAATATTTTTAGTTCATCAAATTTTAGTCGATGCTAGTGAAATGTAAATTGGTCAATTATGACTGCCGCTTAAAAACTGGCCAAGCCAGTGTCCGCTAATTCTAGAAAGTCGATAATGGCGTGAGTTTGTGAATTAGTGTTTTAGGATCTTTTAATATTTTTATTTCATCAATGCTTTAGTCTATGATAGTGGAATGCACTTGTTATGAGCGTCGTTCCTGTAACTACACATGCATATCATGCAGTAAAAGTCCTCAACAAAAAATCTGTATTACCTGTCGCTGTGGGTATCCAAGTTGAGTGTGGTCCTTCGCCTTTAGACGTAAAAGCTGCGACGGCTATTTGGTAAGTTGTGGCTTCCTTTAGGTCCCTTAATATCACCATAGTAACGTGAGCACTGCTAGTGTTAACACTCTTACCCAAATACGAGTAATAATAATATCTGGAGGTGTATTCGCTATAGTAGACCCTATATCCAAGGAGACGTCCATGAGCGTGCTGCTGGGAGAGTGGATTCCACTGTACTTTCACCTCAGTCTTCTCTAAGAATGAAAGTCGGACATTTGATGGAGATGTGCTGGGAACTAATAAAAACAAAGCTTATTAAAAATCAAATATTGTATTTCATTTATTAAAATATCTTTGGGAAAAAAAAGGAGAATGTTGCCCGTGTCACGCAAAATTTAGCAAATCAATATCAATATGGCCGCAGTATAACGATTCAATACCTAGTACGGAGTAGCGAGTGCTAAGCATTTACTGGAGATGAAAGTCTCGTTAAGGTTGAAAATAGAACAACATATTTAAATAATACACGTACCCTCTTCGTCTGTCCATGCTGCAATCTCTGTGCTATTGTAGGCATTCCCAATGTAATTTACACCAACAACAGATAACCGATATTCTGTATACACCGTTAGTCCAGAGAACACATGGGAAGTATTATTTCCTGAGACGATGTATTCGTTTAGACTACCACCATATGAGTCTTTGATGGCTATAAAGTAATGACTTATTTGTTGACCAACAAGTGTTTGCAGGTTTTGCCAAGAAAATCGGATGCTTGTTTTTGTAGCATTGTCAAACGAAACACTCCAGTTAGGTAATGGAAATGCTACAAACAAAAAAGAGCAAATTACAGTAGTATGTTATAAAAGTTGGAATTTTCAAAGATCAGTGTTTATTCGTGGAGGTTGAGGAGTATTGGGGAGGGGGGGGGGGAGGAGAGTTTCTTCCGCAAAATGACGTCAGAGGATCAAGCGAAGAAATTCCGTAGTGATGACCTGCCACTACCCAGATCTGGGTAGTGCTTCTGATGGGACAATGTAACCTTTTACACTAATACCATATGAGTTTTTGACGACTACAGGGTAATAACTTATTTGTTGACCAACGAGTGTTTGCAGGTTTTGCCAGGAGAATCGGATGCTTGTTAAAGTAGTTTTGTCAATGGAAACACTCAGGTTAGCTGGTAAAAATGCTAAAATGAATAAAAAAATAAATAATTAACAACGAAGAACAAATCCATGCATGAAACTAATAACAACTGAAGTTACACGATATCATTATGAATTTCCGAGACTAAGAGCACAACGAAATAAATATGTTTCCAACACAAACAATATCTCTCAAATAGCTCAGGTGTTACGGTATTTAACAGTAAAATGCAAAAAGATAAAATTCTGAAGCATCTTAAAGCATGCACAGGAAGCGGCAGGAGAGCAAGTGTAGGGAAAACACTTCTTGAGCGCTTTAGCCGCTTCCCTAGTGCTTCACAACGAAACAGAGCATAGTTAGGATTTCTTTATTTGTTTCTAATATCATAAAGAATCCTTTAAATTCCCCACGCATCACTTTCTAGTTAAAAATCTTGAAGGCCCCGTCTAAACGAATCCGGATACTTTTGAAACCGCACACGAATCGACCTTCCGTCGACACGAATCCAGTGAATCCGCACACCGAAACCGCAAATTTTTGAAACGGCCCCAATAAAGTTGATTTTATTTTTCGGATCGGGAGGGGGGGGGGGAGGGGTGGCTAATTCGTATGGACCACTGAAACCGGATATTTTAAAAGCCAAATGCGTCATAAACTCGAGTTCAGTCTTAAATGAAACTTTTCACGTTCAGTATGGGGGACAACAATTTTCTGTTTGTATGCATGAGTTAAGATAATTTTGCTATTCTGCCGACAGCAATTAGAAAAAAATAATCTTATCCAGATTGTGGAATATTTTAGTTTGAGACGAAGGCGAACAAAACGTCTCAGTTCTGAGCCTCGTCAAAGACGATTTTGGGTTCGTCCAGCGCGAACAAGTGCCTCGTGGGGTAGCGTACAGCCAGGGTTGGCCATTGTGATCGATATACCCACAAAATATTAAATATTCCTAGCCTTAATTACATTAAATATTTTAAGAGAATCACTTAAAATATTTCTTTTCTATATTTGGTGTAAGAAGTTGGAACAGTATTCCTCAAAGTATCCGAGTACTCCCTCAACGCAAATTTAAGGCTTCTTTACATCAGCTCGAGGAGCTCCTTTCACATATTTTGTAATTGAGCAAGGAAATTTCCACTGACAACTGCCCTAATATAACTTCATTATTAGATTTTGTCGCAAATTTGACATGACCTTTGTAAGCATCACTCAATTAGCAATAAGACGCGCCACGCACCGAGCGCTACGCCACGCCACGTGCCACGCTCCTCACCAAGTATTTATTGTTCCGGGCCGAGTTGTTCAAAGCTGGGTTAAGATAACCCAGGGTTAGTGCGAGATTTGAATTAAGATTTGAAAGCTTAAAAAGCATTTCAGTTTTAATTCTTTTGTCTACAAGCTGATGAACGGAAGCTCTAAAAATAAGAGACAAAATTATACAGGAAAATGCTTTTGAACACAAGAAAAGGAAACCAGGGTTAAATTTAACCCTGGGTTAGGCGCTGATCGGCCTTCGAACAACTGGGCCCTGTATTATATCTTTGATTGTAACCGTTACTTTTGGCAGTTGCCTGATGATTGCTTCGTAATTAAAAAGCGGGAAACTCAGAGTGGCAACAAATGTTCAAGATATAATCCACTTCCATGAGTCCACTTGTATTCTGCTCTAGTCCAATCACACCCACCTCGATCTCCATAATTCTTCATA